AATGAAGCCTTTCACTGGGCATACACACTTGGTTCTTTGTACAATCTATTTGTATGAAGAGACTGGTGATTGCAATCAATAAATGAATCATTATTGTATCAAAACTCACCTCGGTCAAACTTGATTGTTTTGTTATGCTAGCACTTGATTCGTGATATCAACATCCCCACCAGTCCGCTCAAAATGATGAGAGGAGAGTAAGGACAGTGCAAAGAGGGTGATCTTTCGGTCCTAACAGTCAAAACCCAAGGCCTCTGGTATAGTCGCTCCTTCTGTCTTTGACCCTCACGGTTTCCCGCGGTTTATCATTCTTGCCTGAAGCAACAAATCGAGGGATAGTCTTCCTAAAATGTCTTTTTTTATATTCCAGTCCTTCAACTCGATATCAATCTCTTTGAAATAGACTTAATAACCGCAGCTTTGCAATGATGTTAAAATGAACTCGAGAGAAAATACAGCAAAGAGGTATATCTAAGGTAAAGCGAATAAAGATAACTTTTTGGTATAAATACAAACGCAGTGTGTGCGCAAATATATCCTTCTTTATATATGATATGATCAACAGATGATCTAGCTAATAAAGATAAACAAAAATATAGCCTACCTAGGGCAATGGCGTCTTAATCCTCTGTTGGGGTTGCGAACAACTTTACCAAATAGTAAGAATCACGTCACTTTAAAACGTTATTGCTGGTCATTTTACAATATAAAATGCATTTCTTGTAATTTTCCTATATAAAAATGCATTGCTTGTAAGTTTCTTATATAAAAATGCATTGCTTGTAATTTTCCTATATAAAAATGTATTGCTTGTAATTTTCCTATATAAAAATATATTACTGGTAATTTCCCTATATAAAAATTCATTGCTGGTAATTTTCCTATATAAAAATCCATTGCTGGTAATTTTCCTATATAAAAATGTATTCTTTGTAATTTTCCAATATAAAAATGCATTTCTTGTAATTTTCCTATATAGAAATGCATTGCTTGTAATTTTCCTATATAAAAATGTATTGCTTGTAATTTTCCTATATAAAAATGCATTGCTTGTAATTTTCCTATATAAAAATGCATTGCTTGTAATTTTCCTATATAAAAATGTATTCTTTGTAATTTTCCAATATAAAAATGCATTTCTTGTAATTTTCCTATATAAAAATGCATTGCTGGTAATTTTCCTATACAGAAATGTATTGCTTGTAATTTTCCTATATAAAAATGCATTGCTGGTAATTTTCCTATATATAAATGCATTGCTTGTACTTTTCCTATATAAAAATGTATTGCTTGTAATTTTCCTATATAAAAATGCATTGCTTGTAATTTTCCTATATAAAAATGTATTCTTTGTAATTTTCCAATATAAAAATGCATTGCTGGTAATTTTCCTATGTAAAAATGCATTGCTTGTAATTTTCCTATATAAAAATGCATTGCTTGTAATTTTTCTATATAAAAATGTATTGCTGTTAATTTTACTATAAAAATGTATTTTTATGCTTCCATAGTGTTTTTATGCTTCCATAGTGTTTCGTTTTTGTTTGTGATTTCACTATTTGGCCATAGCTTGGACCTCACCGGGTCAGAGTAGACCTGGGAACAACACCAATTGATACTGTTCCATGAGCAGACAACTCCATGTTTTAATAATAGGTGTAGAGAAGGTCAGTCAGTCTTTCTACACAACACTCTACATACCTGGTTGCAAAGCCAGAAATGTATTCATTCCTGCGTAGCGTGTCTTGGGCAAGTAGACCTGGCGGAGTCCACCCATCTCTAGGTGAAACCACGGCCAATGTCATCCAGATTGAATTTTAGCCATGTTCCCAGGTACATGGCCGTTGATTGCATCGGGGAAACCCTGTGCCTTGGCCGTTGACTTCAGTCTAGGAAGCCCTCCGCCCAGCCGTGCCGTGTCATCACCGCACTGGGTGCATCCATATGTATGCCTACCGCATTGGTCAAGATGGCCGCTGACTCTAAAAGAAGGATAGATACAAATATGCATATGGACTAAACTAGGAAAACACTTAAATGACACAGATATTATACACTGCCATTAGACATACTTTAAATGATAACCTAAGATGCAACTATTTGCAATATTAGCATGAACGTGTATATACATCTATATCTATACTTCTATATTCATTACACGTTTCATTAGAATATTAATAAAATGAATTGTTAGACGTCACGTGGAAGGTTAGCGCAAATTCAGCCATGCTTTTCGCTTGGCCCAGTTCGAAACCAATTTCTTTTCAAGCGTTTTTCCCAAATTTATAAACTTGCAATATCTGTAAGAATAAAGTGGGTCATATGGTAATTGATTAAATTGAGAGGGATACATCAACAGACGAATCTAGAGACAAAACATATCTACATATGAACTGACCAAGATACACACCAAGATGACAGAAATGATAAATTGGAATTAGATATAAATCTTTAAATGACAAGCTAAGAGCAAGCTATAATAGCACTGATGTGCAATCATTCACATCCATATTCTTCTTCTTCTTCTTCTTCTTCTTCTTCTTTTCCTTCTCCTTCATCTTCTCCTCCTCCCTCTCCTCATTCTTCTTCTTCTTCTTTGTGACATGATCCTTCAAGATGTAGGCGACTATGGCTCTCCACAAATCCCATTTATTTGTAGTCCTTTGAAATGTTTGTCTTTTGACATGTTAACATGTCATATATATATATATATATATATATACACACACTATCTGAACTACATAAACAACTAGCTACAAAGCTCTTGTTTACATTTGATACGCCAGAGCAGTTATGAATGTACGAGATTCATTGAAGATTCGACCTTGTCTACCGAAAAGGTTCTTTGTAGCCCAGAGGTAAGGCACGTCAGCGTATATGACGGTTCCGTATAGGATGCAGGTTCGAATCCTGTCAAAGAACGAATATTTTCTATGAAAATTTCTCGGACATTCAGGCCGGTAAATGTTATTTAATACTGTTTATCTTAAACAGAGCATTTGCTTAAATACTTGTATCTATAAAAATAACAACGTTAAATATAAAAAAATGTCTTTAATAAATAAATTGTCGGACCTTGTCCATTTCTTAATATATATATATATAGTACAGGTAATCGGTCCGTTGGTATATAAGCCGGTTGGATACTAGTAATATTAATTATTAAAACTGATCCACAGAGAGCTCGATGTATTTATGATTACAGAGCAGATGTATTTTTTACAGCAAAAACACAAAAATTACCTCAACATGGGATAATCTATTTCAACCCGTTCTGTACGCGGCTATCAACTAAGACTATATATATATATATATATATATATATATATATATATATATATATATATATATATATATAGTCTTAACGTATACTATATTTATGGAATAAAATGCTCAATATCAGAGATAGAGTGTGCGTAAATATAAAAAGTGAACATTGAAGTCAAAACTTAGAGGCGACAGTCTGTTTTCATGCTAGACGCAATCGTGGCCTGACGATTGCGTCTTGCATGAAAAACCGCCTGTCGCCTCTAAATGTTGACTTCAATGTTCACTTTTATTTTATGTCTCATATATATATATATATATATATATATATATATATATATATATATATATACACACAAATCAGTAACACTTATCAGAATACGTTAAATTACTAGAATTTCTTTTATTTCTAGGCGAGAAGATTAGGTCGAAATTTGTCATTTTAAACTTTAGCAATTCATTGACTATATATATATATATATATATATATATATAATACTTTTCACAGTTTGCAGAGATACTACACTGCAATCCTAGGCGGAAGTGCTGACTTGACCAGCAGTACTAGGCTAATCAGTCGCAAAAGTACCGATCCAAGGTTAAACAATCCTGTAATTTTTTACGGATACTATGTCATAAAATACATAAAAGGCAACCCGTTTCTAAAAGCTGCCAAATTAGATACATTAGCTTTTATTAGTCTATAGAGAAGTTAGCCAAATTGATATTTAAAAGTTGCTTTTAAAAATTTATGGGGACACAGATACACTTAAGATTCAATCTTAACAGCTAAATGTCAAAGGTCAGAGTACATAAAAAGAATGTATTATGAAGATTCTACTTTTTAGTATGCTATATAACAGCATTGATTGAGTACTTCGACGTGGTGTAAGTTTGTCTTACCATGGCAAGTACTACTGAGTAGTGAGTTTGATCCTCACTAGGTGCTACATACTTGCGACCTTGTGCCACACCTAAGCTTCGCTTAGTAAATCACTATAATTGCAAGGCTCTGTTTGACAATAATATTTCTTGAACACTATTCATCACTTTCTTTCTGATTCTTACAGCAAATTAAAGTGCAGTAAATTTCTATAGTAAATTCTATACTAGAATCAATAGTAAAATTAATTGGAATGCGATGTTATATTAAAACCATGAACAATGACGATCACGAATTCTATCATCCATTAAGGTTTTTAGGGAAACCACATGTACTGCAGCCGTAACAGCAGTGGGTGTATCTAAGGCAAGATAGCCAGACGGCATCCATATCCCTTCGGGTTGGTTTTGAATTCAAAGTTTCCTTTCTCCGAGACTTTTTACCCTACCAAGTCTATAAATCAAATTTTTTTCCTTTTATTTATGGGGTTTTGCATGTTGTATTTTCCTTCTACTAGACTGGCTGCCATCCAACGCAAGATAATTCAATCTGCCTGCAAGTGGAGGAAATGCACTACAACACACCCACCCCAGAATTTGAATTTTGCCCGCAGTAGGAAGTGTTTTAACAGAGGACGGAAAGTGCGACACTGAAATCCAATGACACATTGGCATAGCGAAAGATGCCTTGCAAAAGCTAAGCAAAGTATTAAGAAATAGAAAACTTTCGTTTTCAAAGCACTGCAATAGTCTACTTACTTCATAGTAACCACAGAAATGAAAGCTTTAAATATGCTAATGAACAGTAAACGTAAAAATTAAATACACAGAGTGGGATAGAGAGAGGGTGACTAGGATAGATAAGGAGTGACTGGTATCGATAGAGGGTGACTAGTATAGATAGAGAGTGACTGGGATATATAGAGGCTAACTGGGATAGCTAGAGAGTGACTGGAATAGATAGAGAGTGACTGGGATAGATAGAGCTTGACTGGGATATATAGAGGGTGACTAGGAGAGCTAGAGAGTGACTGGGATAGGGAATGACTGGTATCGATAGAGGGTGACTAGTATAGATAGAGACTGACTGGGATATATAGAGGGTGATTATGATAGAGAGTGACTGGGATCGATAGAGAGTGGCGAGGATAGATAGAGAGTGACTGGGATATATACAGGGTGACTAGGATAGATAGAGAGTGACTAGGATAGATAGAGAGTGATTGGGATATATAGAGGGTGATTGGGAAATATACAGCATGACTAGGATAGATAGAGAGTGATTGGGATATATAGAGGGTGACTGGGATAGCTAGAGAATGACTGGGATAGATAGAGGGTGACTGGGATAGGGAGTGACTGGTATCGACAGAGGGTGACTAGTATGGATAGAGAGTGACTGGGGTATATAGAGGGTGATTAGAATAGAGAGTGACTGGAATAGATAAAGAGTGACTAGGATAGCTAGAGAGTGACTGGGATACCTAGAGAGTGACTAGGATAGCCTTGGGATAGATAGAGAGTGACTAGGATAGATAAAGAGTGACTGAGGTCGATAGTGTGTGCGTAAGATAGATATAGAGTTACTGGGATAGATAGAGTGTGAGTAGTATCGATAGAGAGTGACTGGGACAGATAGATAGATAGATAGAGAGAGAGAGAGAGAGAGAGTCACTGGGATCGATAGAGAGTGATCATTCTTACTCCAAATACTGAATATTATTATCATTAATTTTGTTACTTTATTTCTTCCTCTGCTCCTCCCCCTCCTCATCGTCGTTGGGTGTTCGTGTAAAACATAAATAATGAAATCGTCTTTATAAATGAAACAAAAAAATAATAAATTTACATATAATACGCATGTGTATTTTAGCTCTCACGTTTTGATAGCAGACACAGGAAAAAAAACTGCAGGATCTCCTAGAAAAGGTATTAAAGGAAAGCGAGAAGAAAGGACTAACGGTCAATTATAAAAAGACATATTCGTTAGCGAGAGGAACAGTCCAAGATGCGAGTTTTGATTGATTGATTCGCTTTTTATGGTTTATAAACCCTTTGTAGTTTATTTAAAGCCAGAATATATTTTTAGATAATAAGAACTTTTTTTTTCGATAGTAATTATTTTAGTGATACAAATCTTACTAATTAACCCATAGCTAGGAAAGAAGTGGATTCATACGTATCTTATCATAAGATTATCTTAAGTATAAGTTAATATAACGAAACCGACTGAAATCGGAACTCGGCTCTCCGATTAACAATTCTGACTCATTATCTATTACACCACCCGCACATTCAAGCTTACAGCACCTGGTATTCTCAAGCTCATATGAATAATTTCGTTAAAAACAAAGAAAAAGTGCTGAATTTTTATGTAATATCAGTCCTTCTATATGGCAGGGAATGCTGGACAATTTGTTCACAGTTGAAGAGAAGACTTGAAGCAACAGAAATATTATTATATAGAGGAATGCTAAGACTTGCATAAACGGAACGCGTGAATAACGAAAAAGTTTTAATGGAAACAGAATAAAAAAGGACACATATGCTTAAGATACAGTTGAAATTCTTGGGACACTTAATGAGAAAAAGGTTTGGAGAATTTAACACTCACAAGATATATTGAAGGCAAGAAGGGCAGAGAGAAACATCGAGTAACTTATCTAATGGGCTTGTTTAAATATATGACAGAAAATGGACTGAAAAATAAAGAGACAAAAACAACTTAGAGCTACAAAAGATAGGAACGTGTTGAGATCCATGATCACCTAAGCCGTAAAAGAACAGAAGAAATTTGGATTAGCATCCGACAAGCTCGGAAAGCAAGATGAGGACAAGCCACCCCTGCCAATTGAAAAAACGAATATGGTTCGAAATTCAAAAAAGGTTATTCAGTAGGAATACTGAACATGAAAAAGGCCGTAGGGTGCAACGATCAGATCGTTATAAAAACCAACAGCGGTGTATATAATAATGGTTAATCTCAGAAATTCCGACAAGAATTATGGCACCAGCAAAAAGATCGTGAAATTTCGGTTCATGCCTTTCCTAAGGGTATAGTGCAAATTAGACACAAACTATTTCAGTCGGAATTTAAACCCCGTTCACCGATACCATTTTTTCTGTTGTTATCGACTCAGCTGCAAAATGTTCAAGTTAGAATTAATAATAATAATAATAATAATAATAATAATACAAGATGCGATGGGTAAATTGTCGCCATTTTATATTATACTTTCGCGTATGCGCGTTGTTTGTTTTTGATTTTGTAGACTGCACAGTATTGTAGTGTCAGTTGGGCACCATCTCTGGTAAAAAGAACACCATGACGCAATCCACTCACCCAGAAAACAGCATGCCGTACTGCTTGGCATTCGTGCCAGAAGCTCCAATACGAACATTTCAGAGTTTTTCGTTGCCAATCTGAAAACAGTGCAGAGTATACAGAAAGAAAGAGTTGGATGCGTCTAATGGTGATCACGAAGGGAAACTCACTCTGATCGTTCTGATGAGAAAAGAACTTCTGCATTTGTTGGTGAGGTCCTCAGACTCAACACGGAGGCCTACCATGAGGAAGCAGTGCTGCCCTAGGTCAAGAGGGTGGCTGCTGGAAGACCATATATCTGGCAACACGACTGCACCATGTCACACTAACAGGAGAAGCCAGTCATGTCTGTCAAACACTATCTACGACCACATCACCCCTTACATCTGGTCGCCTAACTCCCCAAACTGCAACCCCCTTGATCATTATGTGTGGGGTGCAGTTGAATGGGTGACCAATAAAACTCCTTGTAAAGCCAAAGATGAACTGAAGGTAAGGATTATGGCAGCATTAACTACACTTAAACAAGGAGACCACCCAGAAGAGTTGCAGGAGATTCCGCAGTCGTCTGGAGGCCGTGCTTTGAAGCCAATGGCGACTTTATTGAGCAAATTTACTCTTTAGTATTTCAGAATAATCTCGTGTCATTTTGGTAATTTTATCTGTTAAAATGAGATGTCAGTGTTATTTTCATTTTTGTGTCATTTAGGCGACAATTTATCCATCGCACCCTATACATATATATATATATATATATATATATATATATATATATATATATATATTATGAAATGGACAAATTCCGACAATTATTTTAAAACATTTTTATGTTTATACATTCTTTTTTATAGACACAAATATTTAAGTAAATGCTCTGTTTATAATAAACAGTATTAATAACATTTACCGGCCTGAATGTCCGAGAAATTTTCACAGAGAATATTCATCCTCCGTATAGGATACAGGTTCGAATCCTGTCGGAGGAGGAATAGTTTCTGTGAAAATTTCTCGGACATTCAGGCCGGTAAATGTTGTTTAATACTGTTTATTATAAACTAAATATTTGTATCTATAAAAAGAATGTATAAACATAAAAATGTCTTAAAATATATGTATATAGCAATACTGGGAGGGAAAGAAGGAAAAAGCGAGAAGAGAACTTAAAAAATCAAAGTGTCTATTTTGTCTGGCAGAAGGATAAAACTGCTTACTATATATATATATATATATATATATATATATATATATAGTAAGCAGTTTATATATATATATATATATATATATATTTATTATGAATAAAAAATGACAATAGGAAAACTGGTAATTGCTGACGCGTTTCGTCCAATGTGGACTTTATCAAAGCAAAATACGAAAAAAAAAAAAAAATCGTACAATATTTTCTGGCTTTAAATAAGTTTGAAAAGGGTTGATAAACTGTAGAAAACAAACCGATTTTTTTTTTTTTTCGTATATTTCTTTGATAAAAATTGGACGAAACGCGTCAGCAATTACCAGTTTTCTATTGTCATTTTTTATTCATATGTGTCTTCTCTACCGATTAAATCGAAGAAATTTTCACATATATTTATATATAAAACTGCTTACTATATATATATATATATATATATATATATATAACTAACTATATATATATATATATAGATAGAGAGAGAGAGAGAGAGAGTAAGCTGTTTTATCCTTTTGCTATACAAAATAGACACTTTGTTTCCTTCTCTCCCTCCCACTATTGCTAACTTTCCTCTTATTCTTTCTTCTCTTTTTCATCCTCAGTTAAATTATCACTTATTTTTCTCTTTACTTTTCTCTCCCTCTTTCTCTTTCATTCACCTCTTTTACCTCTTTTCTCTTTCTCATAATAATCTTTTTTCCCCTTTTCTTCTTGCTTGACATTGCTTTCCTTTGCCGTTTCTTTTTCTAGTCTCTTCTCTTTATGCGAGACCCTCCCCCCTTCAAAGCTGTTAATAACTTTACATGACAACTTCTTCCGCTGTCTGAACATCATGTCTACCTCATGGACAAATTGGGTTAATTAATTCTACAAATGCGCAATATTGCAAACCGGAAGATGTCAACAGTCATGTGCACATGACCGGATACTAAAACTAGCCAACCACACTTTGGCCATTATCACCAATCGTCCCACTCCGAACTTATTCACTAGTATTTTTAGTGCAGTTTTTTTTTTTTTTTATATATATATATATATATATATATATATATATATATATATATATATATATGTAATTTGCCATTCTATCAATATCGAATTATTGTCAGGAGATCAACTGTTCTATTGTCAAGTCGTTTGTATCTGGAATCCTATGAGATCAACGCGTCAGTTCCTTTTTAGTAAAAAGCCGTCCGTTTTGCCTTTTGTTTAATCGGAAAGCCTTTTTTCTCTGGTTATTGACCTGTTCAAAATCACGCGAAATAACACACGGACAAATATTTCGAACATCTCTATCGTTTGTTAACGTACATATTTATTGGTATGTCTGAACGCGCATGCGTAAACCTTTCGTCCTATACGCCCCTTAGTTTCTATCACTTTCTTTTTAAATCTACCTCCTCTTGTCCCCCTCTCTCTCTCTCTCTCTCTCTCTCTCTCTCTCTCTCTCTCTCTCTCTCTCTCTCTCTCTCTCTTTCTTGGTTCCCTCATGTGCTTATCTGTGTATAGGGTGATTTAGCCTTAGAGGCCATTGGAAATTCGTATTATTAGGTGATGAATGGCTTTGGTGTGAGAATTGACAGCAAGTGTGCAGACATTAGGTAACCTTTTTCATCTAGTGATGACCGCAGTCAGAATAGAAAGGAAAAAGAACATAGCCAAAAGGTACAAAAAGTACAAGCGTATCCTTATGCACTATAAACATATATATATGTGTGTGTGTGTGTGTGCGCGCGCGCTCTCGAGTGTGTGGTCATGGAAATGACCAATTGAAATTCAATGTATGTGTATATGTATACAAATTGAGATGGGTACGTTACAGACGCACTGACCATTTAAACTGCCCCCAGGGTCATCGAATGACCCCAACACTTTAGAGATTTAATTTTTTTTAATCTCTGAAACCATCTTGCCTTCAGGTGGCAACGAGTCTAGAATAAACTCTGATTTCACAAATCTGTATTCAAAACTATGCTGAAGATAGTTACCCAAGACACATCAGCGCGGCTATAGCTGCAGTACATGTGGGGTCCTTAAGATCCTAATGGCTTACGGGACACATGACGATATCAGAAACCTCCAGAAATAGGTAAGAAATAATTTTATGAAAAATATATGTGGAATTGTCTGATACTATTTCTTAGATAGATAGATAGATAGATAATTAACACACTGAACTAGATAGATAGAGAGAGAGCAAAGTTTCAAAAGAGTA